TTTTATTGTAGGGGCAAAGCATGTAATGCCACATTTGAGAGATATAACAAATAAACGTTCCTCAAGGCCTGTACATTCATATTTGATACTTATAAATAAATATATAAATAAATACAAAATAAAAAAATATGTATAGGTAATCAAAATAACCAATAGTAAGATAATCAATAGTAAAGTTGCTTCAGTAAAAGTTAATCTTGAAATATTAGGCTATTAACAAAATGTTATTCTTAAACATGAATATGCCTTTATTTTCAAAGAAAAATAAACTAACAATCAGACGACAGAGGGCACGATTGCGTACAACGACACATTTTTTGCAAAGTTCTGATCATGTTGATAATATAGAGGCCTTAGAAATTTACATATCAATTATGATAGCCTACTGTAATGCATCGCTGCGATGAATGGTATTTACTTTTTTTTAATCATATATAACTGCAAAGAATTAGAACCAATGCACAACCTTCTAACCCTAAAACCTAGTGGACTTATTGCATTCCTGGGCTCACTGGCAGCAGGGACCTTGCTGAAAAGGAAATGCATTATATTAACATAGTGTTGGCATAAACATTTGATACATGAGAATTATGTTTTGAAAAAAATCATAAAACCGACAGAAAGTTAAAGATAATCCGTTTATTTTTTGTGTATGTTTCGAATTGATTAAATCAAGAATATTGTCTATTTATTTAGGCCTATTTATTTATTGATTGATTTAAGGGGGAAAAAAGTTGCAGGCTGCAGCAGAGAAAAACATAAACATCGTGACAGCTTTGTGACAACGTTCACCATACAACAAATTGCAATTTTCAGCATGTTGCCATAACGTTGTTAGAAGGTTGTCATGTGAGGTTACAAGTGTTGTGGCTGTATTTACTTTGCCCACTTACAGTTACATTGTTTACACTAACATTTTACACACCCACAATTTGAAGAATACGCTTATATGAGTGGACAATTTGATAAAACTAATACTGAATGGGGTGCACAATGCTTCAGCTTCATTCACAGAGGCCCCCATTGTGCACCTCCCCCACTCTCATGTGAATGGTACACTCCAAAGACACGGGGCATGTGAATCAAAATGAAAACACTGAGTGCCATCAGATATACAATAGAAAGAAAGGAAACCGGAGGGATACCAAAAAATGCAGGCACATGATGATACCGAATCAGCTTTTTGAAAGCATCTGGACTTCTTCGAGCAAATGATGCGAAACACTCCATACTACAGGCTTAACGTCGTGACAGTTGTCTTATTAGATCACAGACCGGATTCTGAATGCCTCGGAATGGGAAAAAGCCTTCGCCACAGAGGATGCTTAAACTGAGTTATTAGCGCTTCGCGTGAGCAATTAAAACCACTGACCACGAGCTGTCACAGCGGTAAGTTCTGTGTTTTCCCACCATCTGAGTCCTTTATTGTTCCGATTTTTTTGAACCTTCAAAGTTTTCCAACCTTAATATATCGCGAAAAAATACTTCAAGATGTTTTACTGATAGTACTAAACATTTGGGAGGTTAACGTTATATGTTGGAGGGTTTGTTCAGGTTTTTTTGTTTGATTACGGTGGGCTGAATTACGATGTTAAAATGAAGTATCACAAGACAATTCGAGTATTGTTTCTTCGCCATTTATATCTATATGTGATAGCAGATTTTGGCAGCGGACTCGTTGTCGTTGAGCCATTGTCCAGCCCATTGTGTGTGTGTCCTTTTGTTTCTCGCGCTGTATAGCTACATTATGCGTGTGCGGTTGTTTTTGTCCAATAGTGTGCATAACAGCTGAGTACTGTGTCCTGGGAGCAGCAATAAGCTGTTATCACAATATGCACTGCTATAGTGCTTGATTGTGTAGAAACGTTTTTTCCACCAACACTTAATAAGGTATCCGCCGTGAAAACAAGCGGGACTGATCTCGCGCTCGAGTGCTGTGGACGAGTCACGTGTTCCTCGCGACAGAACTCGCTTATTGTTTTGTGTGGTCGTCACTGTTGTAATCCTGTACCCACACTTTACCAATAAAACATTTCTGGATGAACGATTCACAAACATTGCATTATATTAAATTGGAGGTGACAATAGGTCTTTTGTTTGTGTGTTGCTTGTCTGTAAGGTATAATTATTCAAGGGTGTCTGGCCTAAGGAAGCCCCTGAAGTGTTCATTTGAAGATATGGCTTATTAAAGTTGGATTATTTCAATAGTTTAAATAATGGGAAAATAGGTCTGAATTCACATTAATACAAATTAAATGAAGTTCCAAACTGTGGAAGCCTAACCATTCAGTCTTGTCGATCATCATTACGAGCCTATATAAGCAGCTCTCACTGCATTGTCCCAGCGTCAATTCTTCCAGCATCC